TAAACCTCGATCATGTCACCCCTCAGCCATCATTTCTCCAAGCTAAAGAGCCCCAAGTGTTTTAACCTTTCTTCATAGGGAAAGTGTCCCAACCCTTTTTTTTTCCAGTCTAGTTGCCTTCTGGTGGCACCACTCTGTCAAACTGCTCACGCTGAGAGCCGGTATGGCCTAGTGGGCCAAATGCTGGACTCGGGTCATGGGAGGTTCCGTTCCCCACTCCCATCGGGGGAGCCCGCCAGGCAGCCCAGGGCCTGTAACCAGACTCTCAGCAGGGTCTCCCTCCCTGGGTTGCTGCGGGGTGGGGAGAGCGAAGTTCTCAAGCCACTTTGAATCCGAACTGGGGAGGAAAGCGGGATATAAATGAAGACATGCAAATGCCTCATGTGCGGTCGGAACAGTCGCCTTCCCTCTCCCAGTCCCTCTGATCCCACCCCCGACAGTCCTCCAGGCATGCCCAGCACCCCACGTCTGTTGGGGGTGGGTGCAGCTGCCACAGAGTCCATTGCTGGCTTGCCCCGTGGCCCGCGCGGGGGTGTCGCTTGGTGGGCCTCTTGCGTGACGTGGCAGGCAGCCCCTCGCCCAGCGTCCCCCCAGATCCCCTGCTCAGCGCGGCCCGTTCCTCCCTCCTCACAGAGAAGTCGTGCGGCCGAGGGAAAGTGTACTCGGACTGCGTCTCCTCGTGCCCTGCCAGCTGTGCCGCCGTGGGTCCTGCCGAGGAAGGAGGCTGCCGGGACGAGTGTGTGAGCGGCTGCGAATGCCCCCCGGGCCTCTACCTGGAGGAGGGGGCCTGCGTCCCAGAGAGCCACTGCCCCTGCTTCCACCGGCGTCAGAAGTATGCCCCGGGAGAGACCTTGCAGCAGCGCTGCAACCAGTGGTGAGGCCCCATGCTACCCCCCCCCCCCCCCCCCAGAAGCCCCTGAAGGAACACGCTCAGCCGGATCCTCGGAAGCAGGGTGGCGTCTGGTGCTCTGGCCAGCGGAGGGGGGGTCGGATCTTGGGATGAACAGCCGGAGTGGTCCAATGGCCCCTTTGGGTGGGTCCAAAGCCTTATGGTCCGTGAGTCTCTCCCCTCCAATCATTCGACTGAGTGGCTGTGATGTTACAGCATGCCCGTGGACGTTCTACTGTCAGCAATAGGATGTTGACAAATACAGCAGGCGAGGTGCTGTGGCGAAAGTGAAAGGTCGGTGCAGCTGAGGGGTGTCTGTAACCCTCACGCAGGTTTCAAGGTAACAGAAGCTGTGTTCACTTGTCCCGAAAGTCAGGAACGTGGATGGGGAGGGAGGGGAGGCTGCGTGGCAAGGCCACTGAGATGGAGAGCACAGAGGAAGGCCCTTCCCAGAACTGGGGGCTTGTCACTGAGGGGAGTGGCTGGCACCAACGCTCCCTCTAAGCTCTGGAGTCTTGTGAGCAAAAAAAATCTACTGTGTGAGCTACTAGCATTAAAGTTGTGAGCGAGCAATTTGGCTGCTGCATACATTTGTTTGCTCTGGGGCCATCCTTCCTGAGCGAAGAAAAAATGTGTGAGCCGTAGGCTAAGAAACTGTGAGACAGCTCACACTGTCTCAGCTTAGAGGGGACACTGGCTGGCATCCCCGTGATCTTCTGGCCTGCCGTTATTCTCTCCCCACAGCACATGCCAAGGGGGCCACTGGCTCTGTTCCCAAGACCAGTGCGCCGGAGAATGCGCCATGCTTGGTGACTCTCACTACCTGACCTTCGATCGCAAGCGCTACTCCTTCCATGGTGCCTGCCACTACTTCCTGGTGCAGGTGAGACACCCGGCAGAGGCCTCTGTGGAGAGGGTGGCATTTTGCCTGGGTTGACACCATCTCTACTGACTGTTGTGGAGCCTTCTGGTGCTGCTGAAGACTTTAAGTGAGAATATCGAGACAGGATCATGTCAAGAAGAGGGAGGAGGGCTTTCCGCAGGGAGGCCAGACCATTGTTCTGGATCACCTGTGGTCAGCTGGCCCAAGACATGCTGGGAGGGCTGTTCCTCCATCTTGCTTTCAGCCTTAATACCAACGTTAATGCTTCTTGTGAGGGGTGGCGGCTGGAAGATTGGGAGCGCATCTGGTCTTCCCTGGTTGCTGACTGCATGCCCTCCCCCCAAAAAACATTAAAGAGGAGAGTGAACGGGGTGGATTAAAGCTCCCTGGTGCCCGAAGCACTGACCCAATCTTGGTGCCCCCCTCCTTTCCACACTGACCCAGTCCATTTTAGTGGTTGACCTGTCTGACCAGATAGACAATGCAGGTTGCAGCAATACAAAAATTTATTCATAGGATAACACAATATACTGGACAGACTAAGCCAAGCTTGGGCTACATAAAGTTCTACAAAAATGCAATATAGCATCTGTTTTAATATTTCACAAGTTTTCACCCTTTCCCCCAACTTTGTGGCGCCCCCTTTGGCCCTGGTGCCCTAAGCACGTGCCTAGTCTGCTTCATGGTGAATCCGCCCCTGGGAGAGTCACACAAGGCAAACCCCCCCCCCCTCGGTCTCTGATGCTGGGGCTGTTTCTGTCTCCCCGCCCCCAGGATTTTGTGGATGGGAAGCTGCAGGTTTCTGCAGAGAACGAAGCCTGTGGAAACCAGGGAGCTGGGAGCTGCCTCCAGGCCGTGACCGTCACTGTGCACAAGGTGTCTGCTCGGCTGTCCCTCGCAGGTGAGGAAGGGAGGGAGGGCCCAGGAGCACCCAGGTGGGGAGACAGGGGGATGCGGCAGAGGGGGATGAGCATGCCCTCAGCAGAAGCCCCTCCTTATTCAGAGGAGGGCTGGAAGGGTGCCACAAACAGAGCCTTGGCTGCCTGAAACCAGAAGGCCAGCTCACTGCAGACAGTTGCCAAGTCTGGGTTGAGAAGATCCTGGAGGTGGAGCCTGGGGAAGGCAGGGCTTGTGGGTGGGAGGGGCCTCAGTGGACTATAATGCCATGCAGCCCGCCCTGACGGGTTGCCGTTTCTTCCAGGGAGCCTGATCCCTGTCGTCTGGAGATCGGCCAAAATCCTAGGAGACCTCCAGGCCCTGCAACTCTGTCATACAGCACCCATGGGCACATGGTGCAGAATGGCCCTGCATTGAGGGGGACTGGGGTACCAGCCCAAAGATCTGGGGCTGGAGAAAAAGGGTCCCTCCATCAGCAAACCGAAGGCAGCCATGCCACTTTCAGCTCTGGGGAGGTTCTCAGTGTGTCCCCCAAAGCCCCTGTAAGATTCCGCTCCGCTGTAGCAGCGTCCTTTAAGCGACAACGAGGATTGACGAGAATGGGGTTTCTGGAACTGCCTCAGACGTAAAGGTGCTCCCCCTTTAACTGAGAGTGCATTGCCTTTTATCCAGGGAGACCTCGGGTCAGTGTTGTATGCACAGCTGTGCCCTTTTCAGTCTCCACTGAATTCCATCCTCCCTGGCAGACCCAGGTTAAACCTTTATTCTCATTTTCAACCTCTCCCTCCCGCTTAAAGGTACACAAACCCCCCTTGGCTTCTATGGGCTGCAGCTTCCTCTCTGTTGGGTCCTTGGAGATGCCGATAACCCCGCACGGCTCTTCTCTGACTGGTGGTCGAGGTTGTCTGTCTTGCCCTCTGGCTCTGCCGGTCCCGTTGGTCCTGCTCTTCTTCTCCTGGGTGCAGAAGTGCTCTATGCATTCCGTATCTTCGCATCCCGTATCCTCGGGCCGTTTCTTCTGGACGCCGACAGGGATATCCTGACAGCCCCCTCCCCTCTGCTTGCCATGCCCTCCTGCCCCCCAGCTCAAGATGCCAGTCTCTCTCTCTCTCTCTCTGCCCTCCCCTCCTTGCCAAACCATGCCCTATTTATTCTTAAACTCTCTTCTTTCCTGTTGAAATTGTGTTTGTGTTTATGAATTTCAATGGCTTCCCTGTGTAATCTGACATGGTAATTGGATGTGTTGTCCAGCCTGTCAGTGTCTTGGAACAAAATACTGTGTCCTGTTTGAGGCAGCGATGCCGCTTCCAATGGGATAACGAATTCTTTTTTTTTAAATAATATCTTTATTGGGGTTTTACATTAACAAACAACAACACACATAACACACCCCTAAACAACCACCACCAACATACACCAATACTGCAACTGTTATCTTCCCAAGTCACATTGCTCCCCCCCATTTGGTTATTTACCTACTTTTTAAATTCTCTTTATTCTCACAATTACCAACTTATAGATCCCATTGCATAAACTCTGGTCACCATCAAAATTCATCCATTGGTTTCCATCTAGATTACTTATTTCTAATCAGTATATTTAAGGAAATTAAGAAAATAAAAATAGCTGAATATATAGTTAACTGAGTAAATAGGTTAAAAAAAATACAAACATTCTGCTAGAATATTCACATCACAATCAAATTCCACTTCTTGTTTCTTAGTGTTGTTATTTCCAGACAGAGGTACCATACCAAAATTAATTTACTTAAACAAATTGATAATACACTTGAGTCAATAAATTCTGTTTCCCCTGAATTTTGTCTCAACGCAACAAAACCCAGACTTCAGATTCCTAAATATATTTTACCATCAGTCTAAATATACCATCTCTCCTAGATTTCCCAAATCTTCTATTAAGGAAACTAATATTTTTGTCTACCAAAACAGCACACCAGCTTAAAGGGAAGGTTATATAATATATTACTATTTAAACTAAAATTATAAAGTTTCCTTCTATCCTAAATTTCATTTAACCTTGCTTTCCATTTACTTCAGCAGATACCTGTTTCTTCAATTTCATCATATTTTACCACCAACCTATAAATGTTAGCTCTCCCAGACTTCCAGTATCTCATATTAAAAAAACCCCCCCAAAACTTTTATTTTTATCTCCCAAACAACATCCCCACAAACACAGGAAAAATGAAAAAGGTAATATAGAATATTGTTATTTAAACTGGTATTTTAAGGTTTCCTTCTGTCTTAAGTTCCATTTAACCTAGCTTTCCGTTCGCTTCCACAAATATTACCTATTTGTCAAATTCCAGCTTCGTTTTGACTAGAGTATCTCAGATTATATCCATCTGCCTTCCCTTACACATTCATCTCCTATTATACCTCTGTTCTTTCCTCATACCTTAAAGCCCACATATCTTGGGTCCTTAACCAACAACCAGTCAAAAGCACTTGTTACATTGACACTATATTCTATTTCTTTTTTTCTTTGATTTTCCCTTTTTTCACTCAAATGTCTTTGATCTTTGTACTCTTTTAAGTTCCCAATTATCTTTTTTACGTCCCCCTGTGTCCAAGTTCAGTTGTTTAGTATTAATGTCCTTGGCGTCCTTTGGAGCTTTCATCAGTTTCTTTCTCCTTTTAATCCTCTTTCTTTTTCTCCAAAGAGGATTTAACAAACATTTTTTTCCACTCCTGTTTTCACAATTTTCTCCTCTTCCAAAGCACGTCGGTAAATCCATTTCCTGTATCTCTTCTTCTATAGGTAAGTATTGAATAACATACTGGTCTTTCTCCTGATTGACTTCCTGTGATTCATCTCTTCCTTGTATTCCTATTATTTGTTCTGTATTGTTCTTCTTCTCCTCTTCGTATGCACCTTGTGGGGTTCCCAAAATCTTGTCCCACACTGACTCAAGTGCCTTCCCCATCTCTTCTGCCAAAGTTTTTTGAAAATGATCTGACCTGAGTTCATAAAGTATTGCCTCCTGTACCTCCTTACAAACAGCAGCTGCCTCCATTTTCTTCACAGCTTGGCTTCACATTTCTTCCCATGTTCATAACAGTTAGACAGTATATATTTCCAAAGTCATTCTACTATTCTTATATCGTCCTTAAAAGGAGTGAATGCTACTTCCAGCAGAGCTATTTTTACGCCAAGCATTTTTTTCTCCCTCGTTTCTCTCAAAACTTTTCCCGGCCGTTTTTTTTTTTACTCATAGGGAAAGTCCGCCAAGGGGGTATTTAGTAAGCTCTCCTTCTTTGACCAGGTTTTGCATAATCAAAGTCCATCAACGTGACATGGAAGATATCCTTCAAAAGGGAAAAACAAAAAGTTTAAAAGCACGGCTGGCAGCTGCTATACAGGAACATGGCGGCCATGTTCCTGTTCTTCGGACGCTCCTGCTTCGAGGCAAGCTGGTCACACACCCCTCCTTGCCAGGGAAAAAGGGGGGCCGGAAAAGCCTCCTGCGCTTGGTCTCCCTCCAAGAGTCCAAGCGGATCTCCCCCGAAACCCGGGGGGCTCCAGAGAGCGCGCTCGAAAACCGGGTGTCTCGGGAGCTCCCGAGAGGCACGCCCGTCTCGCAGTGCCGCACGCCGATCTCGTCGGATTCAAGTGGGATAACGAATTCTATGAATAGATGGATGCCACGGGGAAGCCCTCTCAGCCCAGCTATAGCAAACATTTCGGTGTTCTGTTAGGAGCAACCCAATGCTTAACTTCTTCTTTATGTTTTTCCACATAATCCTGGAAAATAACCCATGGTATTTTAAATGAAAAGCAACATGAAGCTGAATGGAATATTATCTAATTTTTTCATGTTAATTTATAATTTAATTATTCAATTAATTTTTTTAAAGAGCTTACTTCTGATTCTTTAAAAAAACATAACTGTTTTTTTTAACTGTAGGAAGAGGCTGACGCCTTTCAATACAATAGGATTACTAGGCAGAGATCAGGAGTCTCAATGCGTGGATGAGACGATGGTGTAGGGGGGAAGGGTTCAGGTTTGTTAGGCACTGGGATACTTTTTGGAACAAGAGGGAGCTGTACAGGCGAGACGGTCTCCACTTGTCCCGAGAAGGAACCAGGCTGCTGGCACTTAAAATCAAAAAGGTGGCAGAGCAGCTTTTAAACTGAATATTGGGGGAAAGCCGACAGGAGATGAAAAGTCTCTGGTTCGGGTTGGCTCATCTGAGAGAGGTGAGGGGGTACCGGTTGCTTTTCTACAGGGAGGTGGATTGAAATTGTCCACAGAGGCCATGGCTGGTGACATGGACTGCCGGACAACGACTCGAGATAGCAAGAGGAAGGATGCAGGCTTAACTTGTAAGGGAAATTACAGCTGTTTCTATACAAATGCTAGAAGTGTCCGAGGTAAAATCGGGGAGTTGGAGTGCTTGGTGTCGGAGGGAAAAATAGACATTGTGGGTATTTCTGAAACTTGGTGGGATGAGGAAAATCAGTGGGACACAGTGATTCCCGGTTATATATTATATCGGAAGGATAGGGGGGGAAGGGTTGGAGGTGGGGTAGCTCTGTATGTCAGAGAGGGTATAAAGTCTAGAAAGATTGAGAGGCTAAGTGAATTGGATTCGCTTCTGGAAGTTCTATGGGTTGAAATAGGGGGGCCAAAAGGAAACTTAACACTGGGAGTTTGTTATCGCCCACCAGATCAAAAGATAGAGGAGGATTATAAAATGATGAATGCCTTAAAGATAGCAACTAGACAAAAACACTGTGTAATAATAGGTGATTTTAACTACCCACACATTGATTGGGTCAATATGTGTTCTAGTCGGGAAAAAGAGATTGAGTTTCTAGACACTCTAAATGACTGTGCTATGGAGCAGATGGTCACGGAACCTACCAGGGGAGAGGCGATCCTTGATTTGGTCCTAAGTAACACTCAAGACCTGGTGAGAGATGTAAAAGTGATTGCACCGCTTGGAAACAGTGATCATAATGTTGTTGAGTTCATCATTTGTACAAATAGAGAATTGGCCAAAAAGACTCACACAACCATTTTTAACTTTAAAAGGGGTAATTTCTCTGATATGAGGGGACACGTGGGGAGGAAACTGAAAGGAAAAGTAGAAAGGGTCAAAACAATTGGGGAAGCTTGGGATCTATTTAAAACTACGATCCTAGAAGCTCAAAAAATATATATTCCGCAGGTTAGGAAAGGCACAAACAGGTATAGGAAAAAGCCTGCATGGTTAACAAACAGAGTAATGGAGGCTGTAAAAAGTAAAAAGAATTCCTTTAAGCAGTGGAAAGCTAGTCACAGTGAGGCTGATAAAACGGAACACAGGCTATGGCAAATAAAATGCAAGTCTGAGGTCAGGCAGGCAAAAAGGGAATATGAGGAGCATATAGCAAAAAACGTAAAAACCAACAATAAAACTTTCTTCAAATACATTAGAAACAGGAAACCAGCCAGGGAGGCAGTGGGGCCCTTGGACGACCAAGGGGTAAAAGGAGTATTGAAGGATGATAGGGAAATGGCTGAGAAGCTAAATGCATTTTTTGCCTCCGTCTTCACTGTGGAAGATGAGAAGTGCTTGCCCACTCCAGAACCACTGATTTCAGGAGGGGTGTTGGAAGACCTGAGTCAGATTGAGGTGATGAGAGAGGAGGTCCTAAAACTGATAGACAACTTAAAAACTGAAAAATCACCAGGCCCAGATGGCATACATCCGAGAGTTCTGAAAGAACTCAAATGTGAACTTGTAGATCTCCTGACAAAGATATGTAATCTTTCCTTAAAATCTGCCTCCATTCCTGAGGATTGGAAGGTAGCTAATGTCACTCCCATCTTTAAAAAGGGTTCCAGAGGAGATCCGGGAAATTACAGGCCAGTCAGTCTGACGTCGATACCGGGTAAATTGGTGGAAACCATTATTAAGGAAAGAATTAGTAGGCACATAGATGAACAAAACCTATTGAGGCAGACTCAGCACGGTTTCTGTAAGGGAAGATCTTGTCTCACTAACCTGTTAGTGTTCTTTGAGGGGGTGAACAAACATGTGGACAAGGGGGATCCAATAGATATTATTTACCTTGACTTCCAGAAAGCTTTTGATAAAGTTCCTCATCAAAGGCTCCTAAGTAAGCTCAAAAATCATGGGATAGAAGGACAAGTCCTTTTATGGATCAAAAACTGGCTAGTTCATAGAAAACAGAGAGTGAGTGTAGGTGGGCAATTTTCTCAGTGGAGGGTGGTAAGCAGTGGGGTACCGCAGGGATCAGTACTTGGTCCACTGCTTTTTAACTTGTTCATTAATGATTTGGAGATGGGAGTAAGCAGTGAAGTGGCTAAATTTGCGGATGATACAAAGTTGTTCAGGGTGGTGAAAACCAGTGAGGATTGTGAGGCACTCCAAGGGGATCTGTCAAGGATGGGCGAGTGGGCGTCAACATGGCAAATGGGGTTCAATGTGGCCAAGTGCAAGGTGATGCACATTGGAGCCAAAAATCCTAAATATAAATACACATTGATGGGGTCTGAACTGGCAGAGACTGAGCAAGAGAGAGATCTTGGAGTTGTAGTGGATAACTCACTGAAAATGTCGAGACAGTGTGTGACTGCAATAAAGAAGGCCAATGCTATGCTGGGGATTATTAGGAAGGGTATTGAAAACAGATCAGCCAATATAATAATGCCCCTATATAAATCAATGGTGAGACCTCATTTGGAATACTGTGTGCAGTTCTGGGCACCACACCTTAAAAAGGATATTATAGCTTTGGAAAAAGTGCAGAAAAGGGCAACTCGAATGATAAAAGGGTTGGAACACTTTCCCTATGAGGAAAGGTTAAAGCGCTTAGGGCTCTTTAGCTTGGAGAAAAGACGACTGAGGGGTGACATGATCGAGGTTTATAAGATTATGCATGGGAAAGAGCAGGTAGAGAAAGAGGTACTTTTCTCCCTTTCTCACAATACAAGAACTCGTGGGCACTCCATGAAACTGCAGAGCGGTCGGGTTAGAACGGATAAAAGGAAGTACTTCTTCACCCAAAGAGTGATTAACACATGGAATTCACTGCCACAGGAAGTGGTGGGTGCTACAAGCATGGATGGCTTCAAAAGGGAATTAGATAAGCATATGGAGCAGAGGTCCATCAGTGGCTATTAGCCACAAGGTATAGCTATGGGCTCTGGGGCAAGTGATGCTCTGTCTTCTTGGTGCTTGGGGGGGGGGTCAACAGTGGGAGGGCTTCTAATGTCCTGGCCCCACTGCTGGACCTCCTGATGGCACTGGTATTTCTGGCCACTGTGTGACACAGAGTGTTGGACTGGATGGGCCTTTGGCCTGATCCAACATTGGCGTCTCTAAAAAAAAACAAAAAACAGAATGTCCAGGGTATGAGCTTCCGGGGGGCCCCAGTGCTCCCTTTCTTGGATGCACGTTGGAATGGAGGTCTCCATCTGATGAAGGGAGTTCAGCTTTCACGCTCAAAAATTTGTACCGCTAAAATCTTGCTGGTCTCTAAGTTGCTCCTGGACTCGAATTTGGCTTACCGGGGAAGGCTGAATAGGGAGTCATTCTCCTGGGAGTCAAGCAGTCCCTCCGACCTGGGAGTCTGCCATGCAGCGAGCCAATAATAATGTCTCTCCCTGCCTCTGCCCCACAGCCCTGCCATGACCGGGTGGAGAGAGAGCCCTTCTTCCAGCTCTGTCTCCAGGACGTGTGCGGCTGCTTGGCTGGTCAGGACTGCCTCTGCAGGGCGGTGGCTGCCTATGCCCGAGAGTGTGCCCAGGAGGGAGTGCCGGTCTCCTGGAGGAACCGGAGCTTCTGCTGTGAGTCTCTGGGGAGTGGGCTGCCTGTTGGGGCAGGCATGTGGGTGAAGTCGTCCTGTGGCCATGGAAATGGCAAGGTCACAGAACAATGAAGGGGCGGGGAGTGCGAGGCCCAGATCGATCCCATCTGTTTGGCGCCCTTGCTTTGGGGAGTTCCCTTCCGCGTTGTATCTTTACTGCAACCCTGTGAGGGGTGTTAAGCAATGCTCCCTCTAAGCTGTGGAGTCCTGTGAGCAAAAATTCCACTTTGTGAGCTGCTGGCATTAAAGGTGTGAGTGAGCGATTTGGCTACTGCATAGATTAGTTTGCTCTGCAGCCATCCTGCCTGTGCTGAGCTGGAGGCCAAAAAACTGTGAGCTAACTCAGCTTAGAGGGAACACATTAAGCTGAGAGAAAGGGACAGACCCTCAGATACCCAGTATCGGGTCATTTTGTAGAAAAAGAGGTGCAGGAGCTCATTAGCATAACTCATTAGCATAACTTATTTGCATATGCCACACCCCCTGACATCACCGGAAGTGTGTCAGAAGGCAACACCCACCGCTCAGGCTCCACTGGACTCTTTTGGATTGCTAGCTAATGAGGGGGGGAATCTGTCCTCGCAGAGGAGGGAGAGCTTGTACCTGAATAAAACTTGGTTTCAAAGGTGCCTCTGGACTGTTTTGGACCGGGGTGTGGGCTCTGCAACGTACCTGGCTGCTTCTTGCTTTGACTGAGGGCTGCTGGGAGCAGGGGGCGGGGCTTGTTGCATGTGCTCGCCCCCCGGGCTCTTTACTGCCCGAGCTCCGCTCCTGTGCGCTCCTGCAGGAAATGACCCCTGCCCAGTATGCTTTATGACTGACCTAAATCTGAAGCCTGCCCTCTGCAGTCCTTGTCCAGCACTCTAACCCAGGGGTCCCCGACCTTTTTGATCCGGTGGGCATTTTTGGAATTCTGACACAGGATGGTGGGCGCCAGTGTTCCCTCTAAGCTGAGTTAGTGTGAGCTAGCTCACAGTTTTTTAGCCCCTAGCTCACACATTCTTGCTTTAGCTCAGGAAGGAGGGCTCCAGAGCAAACTAATTTATACAGTAGCCAAATGGCTCGCTCACAACTTCAATGCCAGTAGCTCACAATGTAGAGTTTTTGCTCACAAGACTCCACAGCTTAGAGGGAACATTGGTGGGCGCAGCCATAAAATGGCTGCCGCAATATGGCTGCCGCAGGAGGTGGAACCAACCATACAATGGCTGCTGCAGCTCACCTTCAGGCACTCAGTGAAGATCCTTGTGCCGTGGTGGCAGCTGGCGCTGGCGCAGCGTTTTAAAAGATCTGCACAGCCCATCGAATCCCCAGCAGCCAATCAGAAGCCCTGCTGTGCGGAAGTCCTGCCCACATCCTGTTAAATAGTTAAATAAATGGATTGAAGAGACCCCCAAGCACAGTGATCAGCTCTACTTTATTAGTGATTTCAGCAAGGAGAAGGAAGACAAAAATCCCAGGCAGAAGCCTGGTTTTTAAGCATGCACAAACCACACCCTGAACACACCCCATTCCCAATTATGGGCTATTTACATAACATTGTTTCTCTGTTGGTCCATTCTAGGATCCTAGCCAGCTATTGTTTCGTGGACGCAAGCTCAACCCGACTCCAGGGCTAGTTTAGGGTTGACTCGTCCTTAGTACACAACACCCCCACTTTCCAGTAGGTGGGCACCAGGTTGGGGACCCCTGCTCTAATGACCGAGGGGCTGAGAGGACAGGTGTGGAAAAGTGGGGAGAGATGAGAGAGAGAAGCCCCACTAGCTCAGGTGGACCTTCTCCACGCAACTGAGGGATTCACACCTCCGTCTCTCCCCACAGCGGTGCAGTGCTCTGGGGGCCAGGTCTACCAAGAATGTGCGGCCCCCTGCGGACTGACGTGTGCTGACCGGCGCATGGAAGCGCTTGCCGCTTGCCGGGATCTGGATGGGCTCTGTGTGGCTGGATGCAACTGCCCAGCAGGCCTGGTCCTAGACGACGATGGTCAGTGCGTCCGGCCGGAGACGTGCCCCTGCATGGATGGGGAGGAGGCGCTTCCGCCTGGCAGCGAGATCCGGAAAAGCTGCAACACCTGGTGTGTTATTTTCCTGACTGAAATGCATTCCAGGTCCATGCTGCCTCATGAACCACCTACCCCACGTGAACCCCTATCCCTTCACCGTGGTCATCTTCAGGGGCCCTTCTCTGGGTGCCCTGGCCATCGGAGGGTGGATGGGTGGCAAACCAAGAACAGGGCCTTTTTGGTCATGGCACCAAAATTTTGGAAGTCCCTCCCGAAGGAGGTTCATCCGCCTCCCTCTGTCATTGCCTTCCACCAGTCAGCAAAGTCTTACCTCTTTCGTCTGGCATTCCCTCTCTGACCCTCCTTCATGGGTACGTGTTTTAACTGTGAATGTGTTTTCTTTAATTGCTGTTTTTTTTTAATATACTTTGCATTTTTAAAAGCTTGCTTTGAATGGTTGTTAAATAGTGGGGTTCCACGGATGGACAGGCTCGAGTCTGGTGATCAGCTAAACTTTATTAGTGATTTCAGCAAGAGCTAGACAAGACCCCAGCGCCTCAGCTCTGTTAAATAGCATGCAGTTGCCACACCCAGACACCCCCCCACTCCCAGTGATAGGCTGTTTACATAACATGACTACTTCATTGGTTACTTTCAGAATCCTGGCAGGCTGTTGTTCTTGTGCTCCAAGCTCAGCCAGTCTCTGGGGTGAGTCAGTCAGGAATGATTCAGTCCCAATACATAACAATGGTTTTGATTGTTTGGGGACCCTTAACCGAGTGGAAAGGCAGCATCAAAAGGTTTTAAATAGATAAATATATCAAATTGTATGCCAGCTACTGTTGACTATTGGGTGAAGAGCTCAGCCTTTGTTAAAGGAAAAAAGTAAGACTCTTGTCCTTGTGGGTGTGGGAACACGCATGAAATCTCAGGAGCCGGTCAGAGGTCCAGCTTCGACTCCCTCTATGGGGCTTTGGTTCACCGCAGATCTCCGTGTGCCTTCCCCAGCGCCATCAGAACAAAACTGAGCATTCAAAATAAGCAAATATATGCAGCTAGCCTTGGTTTGCATAATGCATACGTAATGACAGAACTCTGTTGCCCTTGAGGCAGAGAGATTGACACAGACGTTCAGTTTCCTTGGCACAAAGTAGTCACAACCTGGCTGTATTCTATGCCTGACGTAGTTCTCTGTGCCTCATTCCCAGGCCTGGTCCGCAGGCGGTAGGCTGCCGGGTTGCAGGGCCCCGGTGGGCGGCTGCACTGCATTCCAGGGGTTCAGTTGTTCCCATGAGACTTTCCTGGCTTGGTCAGACCAAAGGTCCTTCTAGTCTAGTATTCTGTTTCCAACAGAGCGGCTGGCCACATGCCACAAGCAGGTCTCGAAAACAACGGGTCTCCCCCACCCCACTGTTTGTCCCCCAGCCATTGGCATTCAAAGGCACGCAGCCTCTGAACACGGAGGTTCCATTTAGAATCACAGAAGAGGATCGTAGAATCACACAGAGTGGGAAGGGGCCATACAGGCCATCTAGTCCGACCCCCTGCCCAAACTCGCTTAACTTAACAGCCACATAGAATAAACATCAGGTGTGTTTTTCCCCAAATCAGTTTTATTCAGTTTTCTCATTAACTCATTAACAACAGAGTCATACCTAACTACCAAAGATTCAGTACCCGATGTAATAGGTACTCTTCACCTTTTGTAGCATTTGTAGCACAATGCACAGTTTGATATATAGTATGAACCGTACGGAAAGAAACATCAGATGTCTGAGAGCCACAAGACATGAGCAAAAATCACACACACATTTTTATTGAAAAATATGCACATTTGCTTTTTATTAGCATTAAATTAGACTGTGTGAAAGACTCACATGTGGCTCCTAGGCTGCAGTTTGTCCACCCCTGGCCTAGAGCATCCCTGACAAGACGTGTTTGTCCAGCTGCTGCTTAAAGACTGCCAGGGAGGGGGAGCTCACCACCTCCCCAGGCAGCCGATTCCGCTGTTGCACAGCTCTGACTGTAAAAGAGCTTTCGCTAAGATCCCGCTGGTACCTTCCTGCCCTTAGTGTAAACCCATGATTGCGAGTCCTCTCCTCTGCTGCCAACAGGAACAGCTCCCTGCCCTCCTCCAAGTGACAGCCCTTCAAATACTTAAAGAGAGCAATCGTGTCACCCCTCAACCTCCAGCCAGCATGTGAAAATGGTTGATCGACTCCAATCCAGGGTTCTTCTGGTCTCCGGTTAAAACTGTCCTGGCTCATGGCTGTGAAGGTCTCAAGTTAACGATGTGCTGTGCAAAAAAGCCCTTCGTTTTGATCTGTCCTGAATCCGTGGCCCATGGACTTCGTCATCTACCCCTGAGTTCTTGTATTACGGGAGCGGGAGGAAGAAGTTCTGTGTCAGAGAGTGTTAGAGATGCGTGCACACCACTGCCGCCTCTGCTGTTTCCCTCTGTGCGGTGGAGTGGTAGGAGATGTTTGATGAAATCACCCTGTGACCTGTCTGTGGCTGTCCTACAGGATAGGTTGATTTCATTGAATGTCTCTGCCACATGATTCCAGCTGCCATGCAGTCATCTCTGGAGTGTTTGTGGATTCACTGGAAGTGGCCTGCAGGAGAAATGGGTGAAGAGGTTGGAAGGGTGCAGGGGCCGTGGCTCAGGGGCAGAGTGCCTGTTTTGCATACCAAGGGCCCCAGGCTCAGACCAGCGGACGAATCTTGGAAAGCAGGTGGCATTAAAGATCCTGGGGGTCTGCAGCCCATTGGAGGAGACAAGACTGAGCGAGAAGGCCCAGTGATTGAACTCCACCTAAGGCAGGGTCATCGAAGGCTACTAAGCACCTGAGGCCTGAGTACCCAGGCTCCAAGTGCAGAAAGGGTTCAGGGAACTAAGAACATCAGAAGAGCCCTGCTGGATCAGACCAGGGAGGGTCCCTCTAGCCCAGCCTCCCGTCTCACACAGTGGCCACCCAGTTCCTCTGGAGGGCCAACAACGGCACAGAGGCCGAGGCCTTCCCCTGAGAAGAGCATCAGAAGAGCCCTGCTGGGTCAGACCAGGGAGGGTCCATCTAGTCCAGCCTCCCGTCTCACACAGTGGACAACTAGTTCCTCTGGAGGGCCAACAACAGGGCAGAGAGGCTGAGGCCTTCCCCTGATAAGAACACCAGAAGAGCCCTGCTGGATCAGACCAGTGAGGGTCCCTCTAGCCCAGCATCCTTTCTCACACAGTGGACAACCAGTTCCTCTGGAGGGCCAACAACAGGGCAGAGAGGTCAAGGCCTTCCCCAATAAGAACCTCAGAAGAGCCCTGCTGGATCAGCCCAGTGAGTGTCCCTCTAGCCCAGCATCCCTTCTCACACAGTGGACAACTAGTTCCTCTGGAGGGCCAACAACAGGGCAGAGAGGCTGAGGCCTTCCCCTGATAAGAACACCAGAAGAGCCCTGTTGGATCAGACCAGTGAGGGTCCATCCAGTCCAGCCTCCCGTATCACACAGGGGCCAGCCAGTTCCTCTGGAGGGCCAACAACAGGGCAGAGAGGCTGAGGCCTTCCCCTGATAAGAACACCAGAAGAGCCCTGCTGGATCAGACCAGTGAGAGTCCCTCTACCCAGCATCCTTTCTCACACAGTGGCCAATCAGTTCCTCTGGAGGGCCAACAACAGGGCACAGAGGCCGAGGCATTCCCCTGATAAGAGCATCAGAAGAGCCCTGCTGGATCAGCCCAGTGAGGGTCCATCTAGCCCAGCATCCCGTCTCACACAGTGGCCAGCCAGTTCCTCTGGAGGGCCAACAACAGGGCAAAGAGACTGATCCCTGCTGGATCAGACCAGGGAGGGTCCATCTAGTCCAGCCTCTGGTCTCACACAGTGACCAGCCAGTTCCTCTGGAGGGTCCGCAACAGGGCAGAGATGCCAAGGCCTTCATTAGACCATCAGAAGACTTCATTTTCCATTTTCTATTCGGGGTGTGTGTGACTTGAGGGCCATGTAGGAGGTTTGGCCTCCAGGAGAGAAGAAGCTTCTGTTGGTCTACAGCAGAAGAGCTGGATGTGAGCACCTTTTTGGTGTTGTTGTTCAGTTGCACAGTCAAGTCCGACTCTTCGCGACCCCATGGACCACATCATGCACCAAGCCCTCCTGTCTTCTGTCATGCTCTGGAGTTTGCTTAATTTCATGTTCGTTGCGTCTATGACACTGTCTAACCATCTCATCCTTTGCCGTCCCCGTCTTCTTTGACCTTCAGTCTTTCCCAGCATCGGGGTCTTCTCCTCCAGGGAGGGCTTCCTTCTCATTGGGTGGCCAAAGGGAAGGGTGGATGTCTTTTAGTGCACCTTAGAGACCAGCGAAGATTTTGTGGGCTTGAGTTGCGGAGAGTCCAGGGGAATTTTGACTCTCCAAAGCTCATGCCTTGAGAATCGTGTTGGCTGCTGATCTGCTCCCAGACGCGGACGTAGGAGAGCAGAAGCAGGTTTTGGGAGGAACTGTGTCCACCCGCCCTCCTCACTCACCTCCCTCTGCTTGGCCTGTGTTTCAGCATCTGCACGGGCGGGGCCTGGAACTGCACCAAGGAGAGCTGCCCCCTGGCCGTGGTCTGTCCTGGGGAGCTGGTCTTCGCCTACGGCTCCTGCCTGCGCACTTGCGAGAGCCCCGAGGGCAACCTCAGCTGCTCGGGCCTCTCTGACGGCTGCGTCTGCCCCCCGGGCACTGTCCTCTTGGTGAGCTGCTCCCCTTCCCCCCCGCCCCGTCATGGCTTTTGTTTCTGTGGCAGCCTGTGGACAAAAGAGGTGGGTGAGGTTAAGTGGCAAATGGCCCGTCTGTCGAAGAACAGTAGCGGGGCGGTTTGGCAGAAGCCAGGCTCTCAGCTGGGAAGTCACTGCTGGCTGCATCCCCCTTCCCAGCGACAGGCCTGCAGAGAGGGGATCTTGCTCACTGGCGGCCTGTGGCTTCTTCCCTCCTGCAGAACCAGCACTGCGTCTCCCCGGAGGAGTGCCCCTGTCACCACAACGGCCGGCTGTACCAGCCCAACGACACCATCGCCAAGGACTGCAACACCTGGTAAGGGTGAGACGCTGGGGATTGCTGTGGCGGGCAGGGGGGCCTGGCTGGGTAGCCTTGGGCAAGGCTCAGGGACTCATCCGCCAGTTTCCTCTGCTGGAACCCCAGCAGGGTCAGTTCTGAAGCCAAGCCGCTCAAGCGACTTGCCAGAGGATGACAGCGATGCACTGCAGGGTCTCACCTGAGCCAGCTGACAGCTGAGCTTCCAGCAGGTGGCTGGCATCTCCTTGGGGTCAAGCCAAGCCCAGAGTCCCAAACCCAACAGGGACGAATCAAATTGGAGTCTCCCCACTGTAGCTCTGCACTTGCTCCCCAAAGAGGCTTTGGGCAACCCAATCAGCGGCTTCTTGCAGGGCAACAGGATTCCCCTTGTAGGACTCTCTCTCTCTCTCTCTGCCTGTGTCTTAGCCAGCTTTCTGCTGCGCTTGTGCACCCTCTGGGGCATGCAGAGGAGAAGAGGTCCATCAGTGGCCCCTATTAGCCACAAGGTATAGATAGGGGCTCTGGGGCAAGGGATGCTCTGTCTTCTTGGTGCTTGGGGGGCGGGGTCAACAGTGGGAGGGCTTCTAGTGTCCTGGCCCCACTGCTGGACCTCCTGATGGCACTGGTATTTCTGGCCACTGTGTGACACAGAGTGTTGGATTGGATGGGCCTTTGGCCTGGTCCAACATTGGCGTCTCTTATGTTCTTAAGAGGCCACGGTCCTGGCGCTCAGCAAGGCCTTCTCTCCCTTCTTCCCTGCAGCACTTGCCGCAATCGGCGCTGGGAGTGCAGCCGCCACCACTGCAGCGGGATGTGTGTTGCCACGGGGGACCCCCACTACATCACCTTTGATGGGCGGGCCTACAGCTTCCTGGGGGACTGCGAATACATCCTGGCGCGGGAGGGTAGCGGGGCCTTCAGCGTCACTGCTGAGAATGTGCCGTGTGGGACCAGCGGCACCACCTGCACCAAGTCCGTCCTGGTGCTCGTTGGCAACACTGTGATCCACCTCCTCCGAGGTAAGGTGTTGGTGCGTCCAGAGGTGAGAAGGGGGCCCTCCCCACCGCCCGTGTTCTGCTCTTCTGACACCCCCTTTCTGTCCATAATAGGAAAAGATATAACAGTGAACGGGGTCTCGGTGCGGCCCCCCAAGACTTACACTGGGAACGGCCTGACCTTTGAGAGAGCCGGGCTCTTCATCGCTCTCATCTCCCGTGTGGGGCTGACAGTGCTCTGGGACGGAGGTGAGTCCTGCCGGGACAGCTTGCCCTCCCCTCCCCCACACGATCCCACTGGCTCATGAAGCCATAGGTGCCATCTTGAGATGAAGAAGAAGAGAATAATGCTTTAATAATAATAATGCTTTCGATTTATTAATCGCTTTCCCCACGAGTGGGCTCAAAGTGATTTACAGTTACACTTTTAGACAGGGGACTAACAGTGTTTCATAGGGGATAGGGAAGACAACATATATATAAAATTCATTTTTTAATTGCACACGCCGAAACTGCACGGTGGAAACATCTCTGGCTCGGATCAGTCATGTCCCGAACGGCTGCGTCGACCGGCTTGATGACGTTGGGGCCTCAGGACCCCTATGTTGTGTCG